CCCCACACCCTTACACCCCACACGCACCCCCACAATACACGCATCCCCCTACACATCCCCTTCCACCCTACCATGCACACAGACACATCTACCCACCCTACCAAACACACACACACCTTACCACACATACATTCCTGTACCCACCCTACCACACACATACTTCACCATACACAATCCACCCACCTACACACACACACACCCTACCACCCCCACATGCACCCCCCACCGTACACACACCCCATCTACCCTACCATGCACACACATAAACACACCCACCCACCTTACCAAACACCCCCTACCATACACACATGTTACTGCACCCACCCTACCATACACACACACACACACACACACACACACACACACAATATGAGTGTGAAACTGTACTGTTGAGTTACTTATGATGTAGTCCCTTTTATACACACTACACAAAAACAAATCATGATGAATATTTTCTGTAATAAAATTAAAATCTGTTCTAGCAGGTGTTTGACTTCTAGTATATGATTTTGGGGTTTTTTTGGTTTCAAGATGGCACCCCCCCCCCCCCCGGGTTTGGGGGGGGCACGGGGGGGGGGTTTTGGGATGGTTTTGGGGTTTTTTTGGGTTCAAAGATGCCCCCCCCCCCCCCAGTGTTTGGATGGGTCAAGGGGAGGGACTTCTGGTGGCAAAGGTCAGGGGTTAGGGGGCAGGACTTCTGGTCTCAGTATGGCAACCAGGTGGCAGGACACCTGTCAAGGGGCGGGGCTTTCCATGTGGTCCCAACAACTCACCAACACTGGTGAAGTGTTGATGCCCCCCAAAATAACTGCCCACCCCTGCCTCAGGGTGTTGCAAGAAAACCCGTGATCAATATGTTAATAGTATGAATGAGGTGCTGGAAGGGCCTTGGGAGGATAAGTGAATGTTTAGCCAAGGCAGCAGGTGTCGGGCTTGGTTTCCATTGTCTTCACCAAACAGTCGTTAGCTGCAGGGTGACAGCGATGAGAGAGATGAGCAGACCTGGGAGCACAGACACACGGCGCAGTGTCACACTGCTCTTTACTCCAAGGTCTTTCACTGCTCTCTGAAGTCTTAAACTGTGGGTGTGATGGCCCAGCTGATGCTGGGGAGATGGGTGCCCACAGCTGCTGGGGGATGCTGCAGTGCTGGTCACTCTCTGGCCACAGGGATGTACAGCATATCCAGGCCCTGAGTCAGGTTGCGGCGCCGCTCTGGGCCTGGGAGGATGGAGCCGCTCTCACAGGAACTGAATGCTCTACCTGTGGCAGCACTGATCCTGGCTGGCTCAGCACATTGTCACAGCTGAGCACTTAGCACCACTAGCCCACAGGCACAGGCCTTTCTCCGCCTGCATGGATCCAAGTGTGCACACTAGGGCTGTGTAAGTCGGCAGCGATACCATCCAGCTTTGGATCTGGCCGCTTCAATCTGGCC